AGCGGCCCGGTTGGCCGCGGCCGTTTGCGTCGCAGCGGATGATGATGTCTGTGGCGAAGGAGTCGCCCGCGCAGAAGGCGGAGTTTGGGCGGGAGCAGATGTATTGGCCTGTTGTTGCATTGCTGTGGCGGTGGTGTTAGTGAGAGGGAGGGCAAGGGAGAGGGAGGGGGTTTGGCTTACTATGTGACTTGGGCTGAGGCCAGCGCCGAAGCGGCGAGGACGAGGGTAGCTGATGTCTTCATGTTGATGCGCTTCTAGCTGAATCTTATCATGGACGTGAAGATGGCCGAGGTGTGAAGGGTGGAGGCGACGGAGGATAGACGAAGCCTTTGTGTACGTGCAGGTTTGAAGCTCACACAAAACGAGGGGATGTGATTTCTTTATGCTGAGGTGTGTGAAATATGAGATGCTGATAATGAGAGAAATGAAAGGGATGAGAGGTGGAATTATCCGCGATCCATATATAGATGGGCTACGTGGAAGCAACGCTACTAAGTGAAGGGGGGGGAACATATGTGAGAAGCCATCTTCAGGCACGGAAAAGGAAGAGAGTCAAGATGGCTGGGATCGGCTTCCGGAGCCTAAAAAGTTAGCGCATGCGAAAAGCCAAGTAACGTCAAGCTATCTCTCCATTGTAGAAAACGACGGCGGCGGATCCGCTGGGTTCGAAAGAGAAAAGCGAAGACGAGAGAAAACCCGGCGGCGGCGCTGAGACAAACGTCAACTGAGGTGTGTGTGTGTGTGTGATGGCGAAGCTGAGCTGGGGGGCTGGCTGACTGACTGGTAGCGGCGCGTTGGTGGTGTGTTTCTGGCGGGTCTGCCGATTGGCGAATCGGGTTGCCGTCGGCGTCTTTTCTTGGAAGGTTAAGTTCTTTCTAGTTCGTCTCCAAAAGGCAATGAGACTTGGTTGCCTCTGAATCCGAATCTGAATCTGCCCTCGCAGTCTGGGCGGTTTCCCGCGATACTGTGTCTACCTCTGCAACCAGAATCCCGGAACGACCGGGGTGAGTAAGTTTCTTGCAGCATGCAGAGAGGGAGCAAATGGAGAGGAATGGAATAGGCATGGGATGGCAGGTCAAAGGGAACTAACCCCCTCGTGCCAGCTCCCTGGAGTCCCTACTATCGGCCGCGTGTTGCTTGTAGAAGGAAGCAGAGGCATTTTCGATAGAGCAGAGTTGCATCACTGACATCACGAGCGAAGCTTCCAACCCCTCCCTGCAGCATATTCCTTCATGGGATGAACCTGCGATCTGCATCTTGCTCACCATACTTCCCATCTTGGATATGATACAAATTTAACAGAATTTAGATCAACAAGACCTGGGATTTGGTTCTGCCTCAAGGTGAAATTCGAACGTCAAACAATTACCGTATTTTCTTCTCGCGAAGCTGACCATATCGACACAGCTCATATCAAGCCACCGGCAATCGCGTGCAGAGGTGCAAGCTTGACACGAGATTCTTCCAAAGTATGACCACTTCTTCAACGAAGACTGAGACAACTGACACGAATGCAAACCTGAAAGTGGCCGGGGAGGGAGGGGGTGCCGCTCGCGCACATTCCAACACCCGAGAACGGTTGCGAAGGGGGGGTGTTGGTGGATCGAAAGACATACACGTGCAACCGTCAAGCCCACGCCATTATCGCCGCCAGCTCTTCTTCGTACTCTGATCGCGCGGAAAGGCCAAGAAAGAAAAAGAAAAAGAAAAAGGGGGGGACAGGAGATTGTGTGCATGAGCGATTCTCACCCGTCATTCGGTTTGAACCTTTTGCGGACGAACGGCCGCTTGCCCAGCCATAGTTTGCTTCGTGCTACACTCGCTCAGTGCGCCGAAATCCATTTCCGATCTAAACCATCTGAGCAACCTGATTCGGTAAAGCTGAGAGCTTCTTCGTACGACAATCCAACCAAGGCCCAACCAATCCAGCAAGAAAAAAAGAAGAAGAGAACACCGCCTCGTGGCTTCAGCTCAACGAAATCCGACTCCGTGGCGGCCGTATCCGGAAGAGCTGACGGGCGGGATGGCTTATACGCGCCCAGAATATCGAGAATAGCCAGCGCTCGTCCATGACAAAACCTCGTCACCGATTCTTTCTAAACTCGTTTCGCAAGAACGGGAAACCTGACTAACAAAGTGCCCATTAGGAAAGGCATCCGTTACCTATGAGATTATTGGTTGCGCAAACTTCAAAGTATCCGTGAAGCAACGCAGTCTAGCAGCAGTTGGCGTACCAGCCCACTGGAATGCGCCCCCGGCCATCTTCATCGCTAGCAGCTCGCGCGTGCCGCCCTACGCACTATCCGCACAGCCCAGGTTAGCCCTACGACGAAAATAGAAACACTTAAAGTCCCTGTCGCGATTATGGAGGCCGCCCCGCTGCTCCCGGAAGGTGCGGGTCTGTGCTTCTTCTCCCAAGTCTTTACGCAGTAAACTTGTCCAGAAGCTCTGGATAAGGCAGACTGTGAACATTCCGGTACAGCAGCACGACGCGTCGCGTTTGGAACGCGGTGGCCTGAAATTCCAGCTGTGGGCTTGCTGTCGAGGCGAGGGGTAAAGCAAGGACCGTGGAAATATTGGGTTCCATCAGCTGATGCGGCAAAGCTGTGTCAATCGATGAAAGCATGTGTCGTTTCTGCCGTTGAGGGTTAGGTAGGCCAAGTTCACTTGGATGCTCGTGACTCTTGCTTGAGCACGTATTGCTGCAATTTACTATCCATACCTTCGATGTGGACTTGGCTGTCTACTAGGATGGTCTGGAGCCATGCAGATGGGTTCAGATACTCTTCAGATTGAGAAATCATTCATTCATTGACTACATCCAACGCACACCTATGAACCGCAACATCCACCAACTTTTGCAGTCATAACTCCAACCTCCGACGACGCCTGTACCTTCCAGAGAACCACATCCCACCATGATTGTTTCTCAATCCCCGCCTTTCCTTTGGGAGAGAGCTGTCTATTTTCTTCCTCGTCATCATGCTGCAATGCTTCTCCCTCAAAGCTCCTCGTAGACCTCGGTCTGGTTAACCATGGCGCTGAGGGGGCCGCGCTTGACCATAATACTCATGATCTCATAGAGCGCATCAGCGGCGGCCATGGTAGTATGCTCGGCGTTCGTATCGTAAGCAGGCTATTGCCCATGAATTAGTCTTCTGTTATATTGTCCCCAGTAGCAATAGCATTCACGAAGGAAACTTACAGCAACCTCCACGATATCAGCAGCAATCAGGTTGAGGTCCTCCAATCCACGAAGGATGGTGCGAAGCTCGCGAGTGGACCAGCCACCCGTCTCAGGGGTGCCGGTAGCGGGAGCGACTACGCGCCACGGTTAGCTAATATTCTTTGAACGTTTCACACATTTGATCACTTACAGGCAGGGTCAAGAGTGTCGATATCCAGAGAAAGGTAGACGGGGTTCTTTGTGCCGACGCGGTCAATAATCTTCTTAATGATGCCATCCGTGCCGATCTTGTCAATTTCGCGAGCCTCCACGATCTCGAATCCGCAGTATCCATCGTTCTCGTAGTCACTAGGGCCGCTGAGCGTCGTGCGGATACCAGCGTGGATGTTGGAGTCGTTGCGCAGCAGACCTTCCTGAGCGGCATGGTAGAAATAGGTACCGTGGTTGATGCTGGCAACTTCCGAAGGAGAACCGCCAAAGACCTTGGGGCGCCCTGCAAGATGTAAGTCTCCCTACTTGCGCCTTCGGGGATCAGTTGACTTACAGGTATCAAGATGACTATCAAAGTGAATGACAGACACGGGACCGTAGGCACGGTTGATAGAGCGCAGCAGGGGTAGGGTGATGGTGTGGTCACCACCCAGGGTGATGACACGAGGCAGGGTGCGCTCGTTCTTCGCAGGTCCCTTCTTCGCCGCATCTGTGGCAGGCTGGCGCGAGAGGATTTCAAAGTGCCCCTCTTCGATCTGGTGCAGAGCCCACGTATTGTCGTATCTTGCCTTGAGTTAGCAAGCGGATGAGCAAGGTACGTGGTGGCTTCTCACGATGTGACAGGAATGTCTCCGCAGTCCAGGACAGTAGCCCAACTGCTGAACGGGTTTGTGGCCAATGGCACATTGTAACCTCCGCTGTCCGGTGTAAGTATTCTTCCTCGCGCGGAACCAGCATCCCGGAGTAGACATAGACTTACTAGAGGTTCAGACGGCGCGAGCCCTGACGAATTCCTGACGGGCCAAAACGGGCACCGGGGCGGTATGAAGTACCAGTGTCAAAGGGGGCTCCTGCGTGGTGTAAGTGCCATTCACAGTCGACTGCTCTCCGCCCTCACTCACCGATGAATGCAATGTCATACTTGACGTTCTTTGCGCCGAGGCATGGCTGGTACGGCAGGCGACCAAACGTGGAAATGCCCGAGAATACAGAGTCGGCCTATAATGTGTAAGACAACGCTCGAGGGCCGGGTCAAAGGCGTTTCTAAATACCTGAGTACCGCCATCACCCGGGATCGTGTTGTACCATAGGGACTGATGAGGCCCGGACATGGACTTTTGGTGGTCATCGTGGTCTCCGTGACCATAAACGGCCGCCACAAGGCAGAGTGCGAGGATGCTTCGAGAGACCATGGTGCTGACAGTTGACGGTATGGTGATTTCAAGTTGCAGCTATTGCTCGGGACAGATTTAGGAGGTCATGAAGGGGAATGGCCTTGACTTTATGAATCTCGGCGAGCTGCAAGGTCCCGTTCCATGTCAGAAGCAGATTGGCCAAAGTTCGACAGCTCTTCTCCACGCATGAGGTTTTATGGTGGGCATCAGGTATGGCCCCAGGACCGGCTCGCAAGCTTATCGTCGACGTATTAGCCACACCACAGGAACTCCCTGAGACGCTTACTGGTCAATGGATAGCCATCAGACGCAGTGTCGGTCAAAACGATTAACGTGTTGGCGTTAGGTAAAGACCAGGGGCCGCGGCAGACCGTTGCTGGCAGTGCGGGGCAAGAGATAAAGCTCCCTCCGTCCTTCTCCAATGCCATGATGCTTGCAAGATCAGCGAAGATGCTTGGTTCGAGCTTCGATTGGCTTCGAGTTTTGGAGTACCCGGCCACCGCACTCCAGACGAAGAACCCTCAGATCAAGCGGTGCTGCATGTAGTGACAGGGTTCTGCCTACTACCCAGGCAACAAGACGCCGTCGGCGAAGCCATTGCCGTGGGGAGAACGGTCCAAGTGTCTGTTCCTAGGATGCTAGGTCCAAGGATGGACGGTCTGGATGCTGTGAGCAGGGCGGGGTCAAGTTGGAGTGTTGTCGGTATTATGATGCAAACTCTGAACGAGATAAGCCAGAATCGGTTCCCCAGATGCACCTTCTGCAGGGCCTTCGGCCAGGTCTTGAAGAACAAGTCTGTAGCGTCGATGGCACCAACCCGGTTCCGCGGGGAAGCGCCTGTTGAGCTGGAACGAGCAGAGTCACCTCAGCCAATGGGATGGCCCTGAACAACATTAGTTCATGAGCCGTTGGGAGCGAAGAAGACTTCTCCGATCTCCAAAAGAGTCCTGGTTCTTCAGAAATGCATTGGTGAAGAAGGTTCCTCAAGATGGGAGTCCTCGTCGATGACGTGGGGCAAAGCAGCAACTCCCACGCGGGGCTGATAAGATAAAGCTACGGCACGCTAACACATGCAACCTGTGCTAGGCGCTTACCCGAATAGGAAAACAAGCAGTAACGGCCACCTCGGTGCACTTGCAACCCGTCATGCACACTCTCGCCTCTGGAGAAATCGACAACGGCGATGATATGCGACATGTTGCAAGGCCGGGTCCGGAGAGCTGATAAGCAAGGTACGACACTTGCCCGGAAGTCGGCTTCATCGGCGGCCTGTCATGACTTCTTGAGATCGATAAGGACGATATGTTATTCCAAGCATGGGCATCGACCACCGCCCAGGATCTCAGCTGTAGGTACTTAAAACCTGAGGGTTTCTTCTCCAAGCTGCGGTGAGCTGCACAGCTTACCTGCTCAACCGTCAACGGAGGATTGTCCCTTGCTCCGGCTCATCAGCACGTGCTGAGGTGCCGGTTCCGTCATGGCATCGCCGCTCATGGAACTTGGTCAGATTATCGACCCACACCGGGCCGACTCTCGCCTGACGAGGCCTGGCGTTCACGGCGGAGCCCGGGAGTGCTCCGCCCCGGCGCCATCCCGCGCCCGTTGAGCTTGCCCCGGCTGAAACAACCCGGATCCGGCACCTCTTCGACTGACAAAAATGCGCGGTACGGTCATATGTTTTACTGTTGCAGCGGAACATCGGCTGGACTCTGGAAACTTCAACCACGGAAGACGAAATACCCCGCGCGACAGCTTGTCAGAACAGCATTTGCCGAAGCCAGGATGATGACTGCGCAGTACCCACGGCACGGTCGCAATTTTCTTCTCTCTTTCGTTCTTCCTTCCTTTCTTTCTTCTCGCACCTCGGCGGGGCGAGCTGAACTATGGCTGCTGCTCTGTAATCATGGCAGCGCTGCCTATCGTATTTTTTTCTCCCAAGTCAATTTGCCGTCCCCGGCTCCCTGTGCATCCTTTGCAGTGGCTCTGTTTCCAAATCTGCACCTTGTCTCATGCAGCAAGCCGTGGCAGGTCGCTGATTCGCCTCGGGGTTTGTTGGAGGTCATGCAGGTCTGAGAGGAGGACGCCAAGTTGCACAGTTCTGATTTGTCTGGGGCAAGCACTGGGAAAAGTGGTTACGACTTCTTTGTTGCTGCATCTGCGTTGTTTTTGATTCATACGGGAGCCCAGATGGCGTCGTTCAACCAGGCACGGAAATAGCTTACCGCAAGATATGCAGCCTAAGAGATACGTGGGATGCCACGCCGGTCTTCTCTCAGCCAACTAGGAAGGATGCCTCATCAAAAAGTTTTGACACGCACAAGCTCTCAGAATCCATACCTATGGGCTGGAAAGTGCGAGCGACTCCCTATTGGGCGATGTGGCTTGCAGAACATGTGGCCGAATCGGTCGGAATACCTACTTAGGGCATGTTGGAGTTGGTGAGAGGGAAGACCCAAGGCGAAGACAGACGCACACGCACAAGAATACCTTCCGCACATACAACTGAGTACCTACTGAGGAGAGAAGAGGGGGGGGGGGGTGGTTCCGTGGGAGACAGAGACAGAAACAGGTCGGCAAGGGGAGAAAAGCAGGCGAGTACACTTAGCTACCTACGCCAGAGAGGAAAAGTTGGCATGGCTTTGCAGAAGAAGGAAACCACACGTGCAGCACGATGCAACCAATCGAGCAGGTTCTAACCTATGAACGGCCGTTGCGACCTTGGTGCAGGTTGACTTATTGGCGGGCGGACTGAGCCGGCCCCGTTTTTCCCGGCCGACTTGAGCCCGCGTAGTGCGCTACGGCGACAGCTGGGAACTTGGGATGGTGGAAGAGTTCCTCATTCGGCCCCCCTGGCGGAGCTACTGCTGCTGGGCCACACGCGTCTTACCTCTTGGTATCCTGGCAGAATTGTGCATCACGAGACGAACTCGATGCGACTGGACGACAAAAGGGGGGAGGGGGACGACGATATCAATAGTGCTCATACGGAGGAGAGAGTACGCAGTAGAGAACTGCAAGTGCAAGTATCTTGGACCATGGCTGGGGAGTGAAACAACTCTGTGCAAGAAGCTGTTTGCAATTTACTGGATACTTACCTTACCTTAACTTGAGGTCTCTTAGGTTTAGCTAGGAATACGTAAGTGCTGAGATAGGGCAGTTTGCCTGGCTGTTCGTTCCTTTCCCCGCCACCCGAATTTTCTCTCGCCAACTTTCTCTGCCTTCTTTTGGACTTGAGACTTGGAGCGCGACTGCTACCTGACAGGAGGAACCTACTAGGAATCTCCTTGACTCGGCAGGTTTGGAAAGGCCCCGAATCCACCGTCCACGCGGAACACGCACAGTTTGCGACGGGGCTGCCCAGTCTTTTTTCGCGCGCAGCCGTCAAGAAACGAACAGGTTGGACCCACGTACCATCGGACTGAGATGCGGCCCTGATGTACTTTTGCAAGCAGTTGTAGTAGAAACAGTACATTGGCCTCACTTCACCTCGACCTCTCTTCCTTACCTTACCTCACCTTGGGTACCTAAATACATGCCTAAGGTAAGGTAGGTAAGGTACCTTACCTAGGTAGGGTTCCTAGCACCTCAATGATGTAAGTATCATGTACCCATTTACCGGCGCGCAACGCCCCGCCATTCTTCTTTCTCGCACCTATCGCCAGCTTTCCTCCTCGCCCGCCTCTGCAACCCTCGGCCACCACCAATCTTCTCACATCCGGATACTTGCCGCTCCATCTCTGCTCTGCTCTGCGCTGCTCTGGTCTGCCCTTGTCTCTCTTCTCCCACCCCAGAGGCCAGAGGGCGCATTCTCTTCATTTGCGTCAGACCCTTTCCCGCCCTGCCAATCATCCTTCCCGTCTGTCTTTTTCACAACCGTCGACTTGTCTCCGTCGTCTCAACCTCCTGAAGCCGTGTCCTGCACCAAAATAGCGCCAGCGTCCGTCCGCAGGTTGCAGGAAGCCTTGGATCGTCCTCTTTTCCCTCCTTTTCACGCTTCCACCAAGCCCGGCTGAAGCGCTGCGTCAATCTCACATATCGTCCCGTCCTCTCTCAGTCTAGGCCCCCTACTCCTCTCCCTACGTCGGTCTGTGCGACTTGCACCCGATCGGACCGCATCCCACGCCCGAGTATTCGTCCTCGCCTTATCCCCCTCCTTCTGTTTCTCTTCACAGCACAAAACACGGGCCGTACATCGTGACCACTGCGACCACGTACTCTTTACCTCAACCAAAGAGATTCCGTCTCATATCGCTGGGTTGAACCAACTTGAGGATTGTGCTCCGTCTCATCGCTTCTGTTGTCTCTCTCTCAAGACTGCCATCGGTCACTGCACGCCACTGGACTCTGACGCGATTCACCAACCAAGTCTTTTCGATTCAATGTCTCACGCCTACCCTTAAGACCTTGACGTCTCAACCACCACCGGGTTTTTCATCTTCACCTTACTTCACTCGGCACTCCGAATTGTACAAAGTCGTACCGTCGGCCACTTGCTGCCTCATCTCAATCACGAACACGCCCATGAACTTCACTCTGCTCAGCATGCAAAGAACTCTGGCCCTCTCCCATCCTCGCTAACCTGCGAAGGGTCATCGTGTGTGCATTGGAAGCGCGTCGCATGCCTTTGGAACGCATTTCAACAACCGCCCTCTGAAATGGCTGCTGCTACGAGCCTCAACTCCACCGCCATGTCGGTTCGATCCAAGAAACAAGTATCGACCTTGCCTGCAGACGGCTTGCAGGCGCAAAGAATGTTCAAAAAGCACAAAGTACTGCCACACCCTAGGAGACATGCAAGCGACTCTGCGCATTCCTATGAAGTGCGGTCGACGCCTAGGAAATATGACCTCGACGTGGATGCCGTAGCATCGCAAATGCGAGGACCGCAACAGCAAAGCCCCCAGACGCTGAGACACCAACCTAAGCGGATAGGCAGTGGCCCGGATTTGCCTCCGACACCGCCTTCCCACTCGCGAACCTCATCGAGCACTCACTCGATCCAGCATCCAAGCCCAGCGCCCGCCGAACCTCATGCGCCGGAATCGCAGACACCAACAACTCCAGCGCGCGCCCCAGCCACTCCTCCGAACCAAAAAAGTCCACCAACGCCAGATGTGACGCCTCCTCAACCTGCTACTCGCCCCAAGGTTGTTCGACCGATACCTATCGACCGCACAGTATCGAAAGCTACTACCGTTGAATCGCGAACTGAGTCTTTCCGAACTGCCAGAGAAGAGCCTTTTTCCTCTGAAGAGGACTTGCAATCGACTGTGAGGCCAAATATCCTCTCAGCACGAACATCCCAGAACACGGTTCGTCGCGTTTCCGAGCCTCAGGTGAGGACGTCGCCTCCAGTTGGTTTAGGCCTGGGGCTGGAGTCACCTACTGAGGACCTTCCGACCCCCAAGGCTAAGGCAGACTTTGGTACCTTTGACGGAGAATGGGCCTCGAACAACGAAGTTGAACAAGAGTGGGACGACAACCTGGGCAGAAATGTCACGGTAAGAAAGAGGCGTACTAAGCCCGAAACCCCGCCGCGGACTGGAAGACGGAGGGTTGAAATCATCGAAGACCGCGTTGTCACACCGACAAACGCTGCCAAGGCAGTGCGCGCTATGTCCCAACGAGACAGGGCAGCCTTCTATGCACCTAGCGAAATCGCTTGGCCTAATACCTCAACCCCAGGGAAAACAGCTGACGCGGACTCTCGCAGGCTGTCGGGAATGTCTGCGAAATCTGCAAAATCAAATAAGTCGGTTGCGTCCACTATTGTTGAGGCAATCTTAGTCGAAGCTCCCTCAATCCCCCAAAGGAGGCAGACGCTCAGGCATGTCCGGAAGCAATTTGGATTAAGGGACTCAGGCTCTGATCTGTCTCCCCTCAGCTCTGCCACAAACTCGGCTATTCAGTTGGAGGGAAGCCCGAGGCGACCTAGAGCGCTCACTCGTCCTAGCGAAAGCCGTCATGACAGCTATGCCTCGAACACCACCTTCAATTCGATTTCAAGTAGCAAAGCACGCAGAGAAGTCTGGAAGAGCGGTGGCATTCCAGTCATTGTTGTCCCCGATCGTCGATCATCTAGATCTAGTCGGGAGCCGTCTCTCAGATCAACCAGCAGTAGACGATCCAAAAGAAGTACCAGTGTCGGTTCAGCGACTCGCACAAATGGTCCGAAAAGTCACGACTTGCCTACACCAGTATTCGAACGTCCAGGGCGAAAATTGCGCTCAATGTCCGAGTCAGATGGATCCGACCAACGCACGATTGACTATCCGCCCATCATCCCGAAGCGTTCTTCTTCTTTATCCGCTCCGACCAGCCGTAATACTTCCCGCGCTGGCTCGCTCACCGCGGAAAGCTTGAAATCTCAGAACGCTTTGTTGAATCAACAGCCTGGACATGAAACGAGGATACCCGCCTTGACCCTCCAAAGAGCGACATCCTCTGAGACTGATAACGGCCACCATCACCGAGACCATAAACTCAATGTGGACCGTCACGGTGACCCCTTCTTTGGTAAACGACTATCCACGCAAAATACGCCTTTCTCAGCAGCTTCGGTGGAAACAAGCGGTACTGCGCCCGAAGTGTCTGAGGCCAAGGCTGTGAGCTTGTACCCTCATCAAAACTCATCTGTGCTTGTCGTCAACCATTCCAACAAGCCGTCGGAGGACTCTGAGGATTCGCAGACCGAAAGAGAGTTGCCGCAAACGCTCCAGGGGCCGACGATTATCACCACAGGTCCAGACGGCGAGTGCCCAATCACACCCTCGCAACCTCAGCATTCCATGGACGACGTAGATTCACCGCTTCGCAATCCTCGCGCGGCTCCCCCAGTCCCTCCGATTAATCCTCCTGCGATTCAGTTCATCCCCGCGACGCCTTCGGGATTAACCCCCAATCATGAGAGACAACGCAACATGGGCAATTATTTCGAGGCGATGGAAGAGGAGCAACCTCAGCGGAGTAGATCTGTTATCAAAAGGGCATTGGTCCGACGACGCAACTCGGAGACGTACCCGCCCAAGAGTGGCAGACCTGGGCTCCTTACCAGAACCTTTTCTCTCACGAGAAGAGGATCAAGCTCTGGGGCTCGTGGTGACGACCACTCTGCTGTTGAAGAGCCATGCTCGTGCCCGGAATGCATGGCCCCGCCCCCCGAGGACGACCGATTGCATCCGCACTGGCGCCCTGCGTACTCGGATCAGGATGACGATGTGTGGGAGAGGGAGATGGAAGATGAGCCCATTAGCCAAGTCTATCGATACCCTCCCATTGACAATAGGCCAAGCCCGCGAAGACGTATTAGCGAGCGGGTGAAGAAGACGTTTGCAATCCTTCCTGCTCGCGGCGAGGATGACGTCTACTCTGGATCTCAAAACGAGCCTGACCGCCGAACCATTCGCCGGACAGACAGCGGGAATCTGCGGGTGATGAGACGCCGCGGCAGCCTCGACTCGCTCCGCGACCAATCCCCACCTACCTCGGGACCTTCCACGAGGCAGAACGACGATCGCGACGCAGACGGGCCCCCGAAACGAAGACGTCGTTTTTCGATCTCGGGCACTTTGGAAGGGTTGCAAAACCTGCCGCGACAGCTGAATGAGCGTAAGCGAGAGAAGAGAACCCAGGAGTTGAGGCAGAAGATCAGCGGGCCGCGCGAAGTAAGAGACGGCATGGGTGACGTCCTTCGACGGAACTCGTACCGTGGCCCCCCAAACGAACAAAACAGCTTACCGGTCGCACATTTTTGATGCGACTGCAACGTACAAAATTTCCCGAGTACTTCAGATGATGATCCTGTCTGGAGCACTTTTTTCAACGCGTAATATATCTGGGTATGAAGCACAAATGGAGGGTGCTGGAGGAAATGAATTGGGACCCATCACGACTGCTACGAACGAACGCTTTTTTTCTCCATTTTTACGACTACAGAAGCCTGTTAACGACACAAAGAATTGCTTTCTTCGCGGATTTCGGAGCTGATGACGGAGGGTTTGATGACAAGGTTTCCCCACTATTTGAGACTTTGACGACGATATTGATGACAATGATTTTGGGACGGGGAATCGGGGTTTTGATGAACGATTGAACGCGCGCGCTGCCTGCTACAGATAAAGAAGGACGTCTTATTATTGTATCATATAGAAAAAAAAAACTGTACGTCAAGATACCATTTAACTCAGCGTTTCGGAACGAAACTTGCTTGACCGCGTTTCTCGGTTTTGCAGGATGAGCTTTTGCTTCCATGTGTTTGATTGAATGTGATATAACCATGCCCGTGTCATGAAAAACCTAAGTTTTGGATACACCCTTTTGCCCTGAATATGACGCCTAAACACCAATCCCACTTGTACCAAGAAGACACACGCCCAGATAATGCAGTTTGCCGTGGACGAAGACAGCCGCAAAGCATTCTACCGCCTGTCCTGACCTGGAGGTCCACCACCGGGCGGAAAGGCACCAGGAGGTCCAGGTGGGAACGCGCCGCCGCCCGGCATACCGGGAAACTGGAAGTTGGGGGGCAGACCGCCCGGCGCGCCCGGGGGCGGGAAGGGGAGACCGGCTGGGAGACCGCCGGGCGGGGGGAACGGTAGGCCTCCTGGGGGCATTGGTGAGCCGTTGGGGCCCGGGGGGAAGGGGGGCATGGGTGGCATTCCGCGGCCTGCTTGTCCTGGGGCTATTGGATATTTTGTTAGTTTGTGAGGGAGCTATCAAGAAGAGGTTCATGGTGGAACCTACGTGGAATCATGCCTTGAGGGAAGGGGGGTGCGCCGGCGGGCATGCCGGGGAAGGGAGGGGGGACACCTGGAGAGAGGGAATCAGGTTAGTACTCGGTGCAATGGACCCGTGGCTATAGCGGCGCTGGAAGGGGTGGAGAGGTATATACGAACCTCCTGGGAAGGGGAAGGGCGGCGGGAAGGCGGATCCGGGCTGGTTTTGTGGCAGCATTGGGTTGTTGTGCGCTTGGCCTTCTGCGGCGTAGGAGGAGGTGATGGAGTCGATGACGGACTGAGCCTTTTCGTGACCGATTTCTGGAGAAGAAAGGGGGCATGTTAGCTTTCATGTGTCGTGGTGGTCGCGCAAGTAATGGGAAGAGGAGGAGGAGGAGGAGGAGGAGCCGTACGTTGGTAGTAGTCGACTACGTTGCGCAGGTGGTTTCGACCGCTGTTATGCGCCTTGCGCACGCTCATGGAGTCGTGCGTGAGGTACACATCGCAGTAATCGCCTAGAATCGGGGAGTTCAGGTCAGTTCGGCTGAGTGGCTTCGCGGTCGATCGGGGTTTGATTGAGACGTACAGAAGACTGTGATCTCATGTTAGCTTGGTGTTTGCAAAGATACTTGGAGGAGGGTCGGGACTTACACTTGGGCATCTTGGTGGTAGTCTCTCTTTGACGAGAAGAAGCTGTATTAGATTGGCGAGGTTCCGATCAGACGGCAGTTCAGTCGGCAAAAATTGTGTTCCTGAGGCTGTAATGCCGCTTTTGTCGCATCGCGATATCGAAGAGCGGCCGACGCGCCAAACGCCACACCCAAAAAGCTGCGAGGCTGTCGCTCTCACGTGAGTGCCAAGGTACAAGGCTGCCCCGCCCACCGAGCCCAATTGGCCAGAGTGCTTGACCTCTACCCGTCCGACAGGGGTCTTCGATGTGGGTCCAGGCCTTTTCGAACGCGACAGATTTCCAAAAATCCCCAAAGGTGGTTCCTAGAGGCCCATAGCTCTCCTATCGCAGTTGTGTCCTCGTTAGCCCAGGGAGCTCCTTTTACGACGCAATTCCCAACAACCCACGCCGGCTGTTCTCCCCGCCCGCCCCTTCTCCTCCTCAACCACGACGGTCCCGACATTCGAATCGACCGAACCCTTTCTCAACTTGTCTTCGAATCTGATACGGAAATCTGCGAATTAGCTATGGCGCCGACGACATCATTGCTGCGCTACCTGTGCGGTCTTGTGCTACTCGCTTGCTGCGCCCAGGCGCTCAGGTTCGATCTGCATGCTACGAGCACCCACGAGGGCAAGAAGGAGCGATGCATTCGCAATTTCGTCGCTAGGGACACCTTGGTCGTCGTCACGGCTATTGTGGATGGTTCAAAGGGTGACGGCATGACTGTCAACATGCACGTATGTGGCCTCAACTGCTATCCCCCCTACGCCATCTTCCCCGATATTGGGACTTGATCTGAGAAGAGATGGAAGCTCCACGGGGATCGAAGCGGGATAGCAACAAGGGAGAGGATTGGGGGAAAGAGGAAACTGGTCGCAATGACAGTTTGGCTAACGATGGGTGACTCTCTAGATCAAGGATGCTGTTGGCAACGACTACGGAAAGCCCAAGGACATTGCAGGCGGCGAGAAGCGTGTCGTCTTCACCTCTCACGCAGACGCTGCCTTCGACGTTTGCTTCGAGAACATCCTCTCTGGCTGTACGTCGCACCCACTCACCCCTACAACCAGCCACATCGCCATGTCAATGGCTTGAACCCTCCACTTACCCAGTTGCTTTTTACCACCCTTTTGCACGAAAGGGACAAGAACCAAGAAAACTGACGAGAGTGTCCCAAACCAACAGCCGGCCGCAGCGGCGCAACGAGTCGCCACATTGAGCTCGACATCGACATTGGCGCCGACGCAAAGGACTGGAACGCCATCCAGGCGACGGAGAAGCTCAAGCCCGTCGAGGCGGAGCTCAGGCGCATCGACGAGCTCGTCAGCGAGATCAACACCGAGATGGACTACCTGCGCGCCCGCGAGCACAAGCTGCGCGACACCAACGAGAGCACAAACACCCGCGTCAAGTGGTTCGGGATCGGCACGACGCTCATCCTCGTCGGACTGTGGGGTTGGCAGATTATGTACCTGCGGGCATACTTCAGGTTTGTTGTCTGCTCTCTTTTGCTGTGCTCTCGGAGAAGCTTTGGACATGCTAACCGTGTGATGCTATGACAGATCCAAGCACCTGATTTAAACGCCATATATCGGTGAAGTGAAAAGGAAGTCAGCCAATGGCTTGCCAATAGCGTAAAGGAGTTACGGAAGATGAGAGATGCTGCGCCGCCGCACAGCGGTGATGATGAGAGTCTCTGTGATGCCATCGGAAGCATCAAAAACCACCTCGGGGGTTTCGGGTGTGTATTAGTGTATGCATACATACGACGGTCACCATAAAAGTCATGAATGATATAACGCAGATTACATTACAGCATTGTGTTTATGGCATGTTCATGATTACTTGGATGAGGCTGGCAAGTAAGGTGTACCTGAGTTAAGGTGTATACCTGCAATTTCGTCCGGTCCCAAGCGCTCAGTCTTTGTTCCTTGGACCTTGTACACTGTTTCAGTAACACGTCTATTCCGGAGACTCTGCTAGCAGCCTCTAATCGCTGTCAAATTACAGATGTGTACGATATCACTCCATGTGCCAAGAGCTTCCAACAAAGCCTTGCTGTGAGCCCCTCCACCTCCCGAGTGAACGTTATCTCTCTCCGCCCCATACCATGCAATGAAGCTTCCAATGAAGCCGTTTATAATGTACCATGCTGCCACAAATTTTGCCCTCTCCGCCCAAAAGAATATTTCCTGATAGATATTGGTACAATGTCTCAAACCTCTTTCCCCCAAACTCGTCGGCGCATATCTCACAGCGAGATCTACAATCTCTCTAGTTCTTGCCCGCGCTATCAACGTCAAACAGAGGCGGCATAAACCCAAGCCCACCCTCCTTGCGCTCCTGCACGTCCCGGTGCACACCAACAGTCCCGTCCGCACGCCGGCTCCGCACGTGGGCCCTCAGCATCTCCAAAATCTCACTACCCTGCCATCGCACGGGCACGGGACGGTACTGCGCCTTGAAAGAGCCGACGGTGTTGGCCCACTCGCCTGGGACGTCCTGCGTACGGACATCCTCTTTCGGCTTAGAGGTCTTGCCGGAGTCGATTGTCGAGGCGGCGCCGGAGCCGACGGGGCGGTAGGATTCTGCCGCGTTGACGGTGGAGGAGGCGAGCGTGTCGTTGGAGGAAGAGGCGGACGACGTCTTTGTAGTCGAGGCCGAGGCCGAGGGGGCTTCTTCCTGGGTGGCCCAGTAGTAAATGTCCCAGTCGTTCTCGTCGAGGAAGAGGTCGTACTGCGCCATTTGGGACTTTGTCATGTGCGGGAGGTGTTCGTTGGCGAAGGTTGACATGAGGAGGTCTGATTCGAGGGTTCCGCGCTTGCGGGACTGGTCTGTTTTTTTTTTCGCAGGGCAATGATTAGTTCTTGGGATCTTACTTTCTGCATAAATTTGTTTTCTCTCCCCATCGTTCCCTCAACAAGAGTCGAGTAAGAAAAAACGCCGAGGGAAGGCACTCACAAAGAAGACGGGCGCGCATGGTCCGCTCGTCCTCGCCCTGACGCCGCAGCGGCTCGACGCGGAACTTGATGCCCTCGAACTCGCCGACGCCCAGCTCGCTGTTGACGGCGGACTCGGTGTAGACCGGCGGCTTGTCGGCGAAGCATCTGCGGAGGATCAGGGGCGGCGCCGCCGCCGTCGTCGTGGGTGCCGGCGCCGTGACGCGGAGGCGGCGAGCTGCCGGGCGGAGAGCGCGGGCTACTGTCGACATTTTTTTTTTTTTGCGATTTGATTCGAGGTGTTGGTTGGAAGAGAATAGTCGGTTCCGACGTTGCGCTTGTGCAAAGTCGAGGTTGTCGGTGGTGAGAAGGGTGTCTTGGGGATTTGTCTTACAAATTGGACGCTGTGATAGGTGCGTAGTTGGTTTTGACGTTACCGAGGTAGAGGGGGAGGACGAACAAAGCAACTACTTCCCGTCCGTAATTCGCCTCGAAAACTGTACAAGACCCTTGATTTCGATGCAGCAATAAGAGCTCGGACCGTGGGAAAATAATCACCGTATATCACGGATATCAACACTGTATGACGGTTCGATCTTGACGTGCACGCGGAAGTGGCTTGGATCGTGCACAGTACACTGCATTGGCAATGCAGATAATAAAGGCATTGATAACAGGGTCCTTGCGTAGTTCCTCACTATCCAGATCGGAATGAGTCAAGTTTCCTCATTGGCACCGGGATAGAATACGGAGGTGCGGGGACTATTTCAGGGTCTTGAGATAGCATTCCGATAGTGATACCGAAAAAGCTTGGTTGTGTTGCATGGCTGACAGTTTGAAAGGATAGTCGAATAGAAGAGAAACGCGCCTCACATTGCGACTCTATCAAAAGTTCCTCAAATATCAACGTTGATCCCATCCGGCCCAACACGGACGAGCCAAAACATTCAAGAACGACATCATCACAGGACCATACTACAAAAACGCGGGTAGCGAAAGAACATGTGGGTATTTGGCTAAATGAAAACTCCGTTCGAGATGCAGTCTGTACCTCTCAAATTCCATCCCCAAAAAGCCCGCCTCCAGCGCCGATTCCATGCCAAGACAAGCATCGAAAGAGAAGGAACGAAAACGGTGTGTGTCTGCCAGTCACCCCCAGAGATGGCCCCCATCTCGATAAACAACCCCCTTCGAGGGCAGCCAATTCAAAAAAGAGAGGAATAAACCTCGCCGCCCACCCAACCACCACAATTTCATATCAGTCATTATACCCCCCCTTCTCAAAGGTCGGTCGTCATTAAAGAAAAAGGAGAGAAACGGCGGCGTTGTGTGTGTAATAGCAATCGTTTCCTTTATTCCCCGCCCTCTGGTAATATCCTCCCCAGGCTGCGGAGCACCTCCATGACGGGCATCTCCTTGGTGCCCGCGTTGGCCTTTTCCCTCACCTCCCGCTCCTTGAGCCGCGCGGCGCTGAGAGAGAGGACCTTATCCGCCTCTCGGCCCGCCGTGTCGACGCGTTGGGAGAGCTTGTGTATGCCGTCCGCGAGCTGGTCCACCTTAAACTCCAGCGTCGACTGCGTGTTTTGTAGGCGGGCGAGCGTCTTGGCGCGGACATTCTCAAAGGAGGATGCCGGGTCGGTGAGCCAGCTCAACATTTCTGCCTCATTCGGCTCGAGGATGGATGCGTCGGCCGCTGTTGCTGTTTGTGCTGTGTCTGTTTCTGAGAAGAGTGGCGGGATATCCGGGCGCGGTTTGTTGAGCGCCAGCCATTTCTTCTTTTCTAGTTTTAATCTATGATTGGTTAGTCCCTGCATCCTCATGAATCGGGTATTCGGAAAATGTACCTTTTGACTTTTTGTTCCAGTTGCTCGATTTTCTCTTGATGTTCAAGATTACGCGGGTTTGGGAGGTAGACTACAGGCTTCTTTGGCCCCTGTTCTTCTCGGCTGAACCAGTCTGAAAATTCTGACTTTGTAGAAAAGTCCTTCAAGAGCTGTTCCTGAATATAGCGAGCTGGAAAAGTTAGCTTGGGCACGGGTTTTCCAGGTTTCAAATTTTACTCACCACCCAAAACAGTATTGGAATCTGTCTGGCCATGGGGCGGTTTTTGCAGTAATGCTCGTTCGCCACACCACGTCAAAAGCTGCTTCATCCGTCTTGGTTCCATGAGACCCTCCGACTCAATGTGCTTGTAAAATTCTGCAGTTTCAACCTCTCGGTGGGGTATCGCGTTATGCCCACTCTCAATCAGCGAACTTGCTCTCCGGCCGCGCATACCCGTGCTGCTCCGACGATTCCCTCCGCCCTTTTTCCTCATTTCCTTGTTGCGATTGATAACTGGCGTGTCACTGACGGGAAGCGTGATTTTTGCAGACTCGACTGGTTCCTCAATGGCGCGTGGCGTCCGCCGCCTATCCGGCTCCGGCTCCCTCGGTGTCGCGCTGTCAACTTCATCGTGCTCTTCCTCCTCCTCCGGGACTGGTTCCGGTGCTGGTTTCCTGACAGGCTTTGCCTTTTCTGTTTTCCCAGTCGAGCTGCGCGTGCTTCGGCTCGTCGTGCGCTTAGGCGGAAGCAGTTGTAGCTCGTCGTCCTCCGCCGGCTGCGTGCTCGCTGTCCGTCGCGTTCGCGGCTTTGATGATGTCGCTGCCTTTGGCGCAGCTACTGGTGATGAGGGCTCGGGCGCCTTCGCTGTCGCCGAAGCGCGTCCTTTTGCTGGCCTTCCTCTTCCAGACTTTTTCGGGGGTAGTGGCGCGGGTTCAATTTCAATTTCCGGTTCGGGCTCTGGCTCGGGTTCTGCGTTCTTAACTCGCTTCGATTTGGATCCGCGCGTGAAGTGGAAGTCGCCATCCTGCTCGTCGTAAACCGATGAAGCTGCGCGTCGTTTTAGCATCATCCTTGCCGCCTCCCCGCGCTCCTCCAACTCACCCGCAAGACGCTTGCTTTTCCTTCTCTCTGGCTGCTCGTTGCTCATGCTAATGACTTGCAACGGGTGACGGGTGCGAATGACGGTCGTCATGGATGGCGCGTTAAATGAAGCATGCGGTCGAGAGACAAAAGGTGGCGCTCGGTGTAGGAATCGGAAAGTCGCGCCTCGAGGCAATCGAAAAGCGCGTCAATTGGCGCGTCAAAAATCCCAAGCGAACAAAACTTTGGTGCGGTCTTGCGTATTTCCAATTTTGTGAGAAGTATGGTCTCCGGGGCGCTGTCGTGATTTTCGCGTTTCGGCGGGTGTGGTAGTCGGCGGCGCGAGACGAAGTTGGGGTGGTCCTTCTCTGCGATGTTGTTTACAAGAGTGAGGGATGGTTTACCCGGAAGGTTGCGCTAGTCCGTTTTGGGAAACCCCTCTCGACCACTCACAACCCTGGAACACGACTGCCTCACTTACATCACTTCCATACGTTACCTTAGGTAGGTAATGGTTCCACTCACCACTGTCGACGGATTGTCCCGATGCCTAGCTATCTATACCTTATTCAGTCATAGCCTGGTTTGCGGCTCATCGTGTCTAGGTATCCTGGGCATGGTGGTGGCCGTTTGCATGTACAGAACCATAAGTTAAAAATTCATACACATTCGTCTACGCACACATCATCTCAAGACTCATTATGGGGCGAAATCTCATAAATTAAATGACCACGAGGC